GGGGGGGCAACGGCTGGGGCACGAGACATGGTGGTCGGCCGAGACAGTTCGCTACCAGTGCTCCCCCGAAACATGCTCGCGGTGTTGGTGATCGTTGCTGTTCGTGAGTGTGTGTGTTTGTACCGGCGTGTTGTTTGAGTGGAGTGCCGCACGCGCGGGCATGGATCTCACCACGCTCGCTACCAGTTTCCTTGCCGTTTTCGTAAGTTCTTCAAATATTCAATCCTCTAAAAAAAATTGAATTTTCTAGATGCCTAGAAAAAATCTGGTGGTGGAGGTGGAAAATGAAAAATCCTGCGCAGCGACGGAGGGCGGGGGGCTCTTCAGCATTACACGGAGACAATTTTAAAATAATGTAAAAAATTGATTTTTGACACCGCGTCAAAATCAGAAAAAGTCATATATTTCCTGATCAAAATCATGTGTTAAAAAATAATGAGCACGGATCCCACCATGCACTCGCTACCAGTTCCCTTGCACTGAAAAAAAAAAATCTCGGTGTATTTACTAAGAAAAGGGTAAAATTACCAAGAATTCAGGGTTCTATTTGATCCCAGTTTTTTCTTGGTAAAATTACCTTTTATGGTATCGGTAATTTTACCGAGAAATCTCGGTAAAATTATTGAACTTTCTCGGTAATTTTACTGGACCTTGGTAAAAACGCCAATATTTTTTATCGACTGTGGTAGATTACCGAGATAAAATGGCAAAGTTACCGGGAATGGGCCTGTTGCATGCAAGAGATACAGCCGCGCGAATAGACTTTTTAGAGGTTAAATGACACGAAAATCACGATGGTCACATTAAAAAAGTCTGAAATACACTCCTTACTGCGCAATTTGCGTTGTTAGGAACGCGCTTTTTCAAATTTCCCGCGTCTGGGGGCAGTTTTCTAATCACCGCAAACGAGCAAACGGCGGGCTCGGTGATTTCCGGAAGATGCCGAGTCGTTGTTGTTGTTGTTATTTTTTCCTTCAGTTTGTTTACAAACCCAGCGTGATCTCCTACAGTGGTCCATATACGCTTTATGCGGTAACCAAATCGATCAACTTCTAAATATCCAACGCAATCCTTCTACATTTCATTTCACGATGTCACGAGCTCCGATTTTTAGGTTATGTTGTCAGTTTTAGTTGACCGGAAATAGCCGCGAGTTGCCGTTAATTGTTTCCGTTAGAAAACTGCCCCCAGACGCGGGAAATTTGAAAAAGCGCGTTCCTAACAACACAAATTGCGCAGTAAGGAGTGTATTTCAGACTTTTTTAATGTGACCATCGTAATTTTCGTGTCATTTAACCTCTAAAAAGTCTATTCGCACGGCTGTATCTCTTGCATGCAACAGGCCCATTGATTACCAATGAAAGTGGTCTTCTTACCTGAAAAAAAAAAACAGTAAAAATACCGGTTTTTAGGTAAGCTGACCCTGTCTTGGTATAATTACCAAAAATTGGTAAAAAAAAGTGAGATGGTAAAGGTACCAACGGACCTTGGTAAAAACGCCGAGAGTTTTTTTTCAGTGTGCCGTTCTCGTAAGTTCCCCAGATATTCAATCCTCTCGATGTCTGGAAAAACTCTGTTGGTGGAGGTGGAAAATGAAAAATCCTGCGCAGCNAGGGGTTTCTACAGCATTACACGGAGATAGTTTTAAACTAATTTATAAAAATGAGTTTTTAGACACCGTCAAAATCAGAAAAAGTCATATATTTCCTCACCAAAATCTTGTGTTAAAAATTGACTCAACGGGAAGTTCCAGAATTAATATCTAAATGAGGTATTACCAAGTCGTCTGAACACTGGACAAATGGAAGTCTAATTATACAATAGTGGCTTCATTCGTATATGCTCGTACTTATGTGCATTTTTTCACACTTTATATTTTCCCAATTTATTTTGCGGGTGGGCTTACTATTGACGCAACTCACGAAACTGGACTGCGCCATTATTGGCAACGACGTCTTTTCCTCGCTGTGGTTGGTGTGATTTCACAGTATTTCCAAAATATATATCCGGTTCATCTTGTGAAAAGTGGAGGAATAATAAGGTAGGACTCCCAGGACCGCGCCAGAGCAGAGATGCAGCATGCAGCCAGTTTCTTTTTTCTACCTTTGCGTTAAAGTCTCCGACACTGCTGTACGTTATTTAATGTGTCCCTTGTGTTACAGTGGAATATTTTCCTTATTTCATTCCTGTTCAGTGCGCGATGAACGCGATTATGTCCCTTGCTTCAGGAAAACGCAGTTTGAGCCCTCAGGCGACGTCAAATTTCCCGCGATAAAATCGACATTTTCAGGGAGGCTTAGGTGGGTATTTTTTTTCTCCATTTTTCAAAGCAACTCCTTCGCACTTTAATCCACAGTGTCCAAAAGTTCTAAGAAAAAATATTTTTAGCTTTCTGAAAAAATGAATGTTCATAGGGACAAATGTATCAACGTATAGCAGTAGGTGCATACGGTGATTTTCCTCAGCACAGCGGTCCTGCGGGCTGGCCGTTGAAATTTACAGAAAAAGCGATAGACGAAGGAGACAATGAAAAAATGTGGCGATTCCAATGATAAAAGCAGGTGGTTGTAATGGACAAAGGAGATAAGAAAAAGACTATCCAACGGCAACCCTCCAGAGACCCTTCAGTTATAGCCATTATTTCCCTCGTAATAGTCTATAGCAGCCACCCATTTGAACCAATGTAATAGGACTGTTCCATTTTCCCTTTGTCTTCCTTGTCTATCGATATCAATAAGTAGCCCGCAGCACTGGCGAACAGTACATATAATTTCGCTAACTTAACAGAAAAACTGCTGGACTCAACTGCTGTAAGCTTTCCATCTTACTTTATTACCCAATCACAACACTGCATTATACACCGAATAATCAATGTGATTTCCACGAAATTGTCTTTACTATTTAGTGAAAATTTTATGCAAATTTTAAGCAGTAAAGCTTTATAAATGTTTTTACTTGATGGAAAAGCCTCGTGAGCTTAGGGGGGGGGGGGGTGTGGACATTTTGGAGCTACGCTATACTGCCGTGCTAAGGAAGAACGCCGTATGAACCTTCGTGCGTTGCCAAATTTCTTTTGGTAAAATACGACTTTTTAGGAAAACTTGTGAGCATTTTCCGTCCGATTTTCCAGAGAATTTTCCTTGCGATGTGATCTAAAGTCAGGAAATTTTAAGGAGAATCATTTATTATTTTTCTCCAAAATTATTATTTTAAGAGGGGGAAATTTGGCAACTCTCGGATGTTCGTACGGCGTTTTTCCTTAGCACGGCAATATGGGGATATGCGGTTTGCGAGTTCAACCACTGATATACCTATCATCGGAGGGGCGGGAGACATCAGGTGATTCTGAATTGTTTTTTTAAGATCACAATCCCAGGCTCACGAATGACTTAATTCACAATAAAGAGGTACTCAGTGAGGTGGAGCACATCCTGACTCCTTCGGCGGAGCAGCGGAAGTCGCAGGGCGATTGTGCACCTATAATTGAATCAGTCACGAACAAATCACATTTGGAGCCGCGCCGCAAAAGCACGCTGAAGTAAATAAGGCGATGAGAAGTCGCCGTTCCGCTCACAAAAGCGATTAACTCCATTTCTCGGCGAGTCCCGAAAAGCACGGAGTCAAATGGACGACAGAGTTCGACTCGAGCTTCGCCCACGCCCTTTGGTCAACAGTGCGGCGAAGTGTAACAAGACTCTAGTTCATGAATGGACACCGGCGACAGGACAGTGACGCTGCAAAGAACCCATTCAATAACCGCTGCGCCGGACTCCGGAGTGGTTGCACTGTTAATTACTACGCAGGAGTGGCGCTCCGAATAATATGAGTATGTTAATTCGACGAAGTGCAAGACGCTTGAATGACAAGCTATATTTTTGCATGGGACATCTCTCTTCGAAAGTTCTGGTCGAAGCGACAGGCGTAGCAAGAAATTCTTCATACGGGGGGCTAGAAGAAATAATTTCTCAAGGGGATCTTAAAAGGGAAGTATTAAAAAAAAAAAAAAAAAAAAAAAAAAAAAAA